TCTTATTTCAACAAAGATAAAACTTGAAAAAGGGAAAAAAATAGTAATTAGTAACATATTTTTAAATTAAAATTATAAAAAGGATGTAACATACATTTAGAACATGTCACACTTAAACTGTTGGCCTTAAATTTTGGAAATAGATGTCTAGTGTTGCAAGCCACCTTTTCGTCCACATGTAAAGTACTTGAATGCTTGGTCATTGCAATGGGGTGAGCGACCGTCTTATGCACTTGATGTTTAAGTCAACTTAAACTTGAATATGGAAAGATACATAGACAGTTTTGGTTGCGTGAAATATATCACATCCCCTGAAAATGGAAAACTATATATAAATGGTGATTAAGTAAAATGTCATTGTGAAGTGTGTAATCAGCACCAAATGTCATATTGGTATGATGGTCATGTTGTTTTTCAATCGTCACGTCCTTATCAATCTGTAATAACTTGTTTGCTTGTGCTCAACTTGGAATGAACTATGGAGTTGTTGGTAAAGGATAAAGATACATGAACAGGGCCACGTAGGCCATGTCCGTCCAGGGCGCCTATTCGTGGTCCTATCCGTCTAACATAATTCGCTGGTAAAACACGACATATTTTGTACAAAAGGAAATACTAATTGCTTAGTCACCTGTGGTGGACCCTTCTTGGACATGTGCACACCCTTTAACAAAAGTTTCCAAGAAAAGATGAGAAAACGTTAAGAGTAGGAGTGAGAGAAAATATACACTGGGTCGAAAATGAAATTATATTTAATAAAAAAATAAGGGAAAAAAAGATAGTTCAATAAAAACGCTCGAGGTATTATTTGAAATATGTTGTTAGATGAAGCGCAAAAAATAGTATATCTTTACTGCACTAGTTTATGTATGTGCATTGCATATGTGATGTATACAGTTATAAAAATTTATAATTTGTGTCTTCTTTGTAATAAAGTTAGAAAAGATATTCAACTCGAATTATCTTATTATACAGCATTTTATATTATATAAGTATGATTATAAATTATTGACGAATTAAATATTTTGTTAAACATATTTGAATATTATTCTTATAACAGCTCTTTATCACCATCAACGAACAAATCACTTGGTAAAATTCCATTGAGAATGATGAATAAAAAAATAAATAAATAAATAAAAAGCATTACAATTAACTCAAAAAGATTAGAATGATAAAAATTTTAAAACGTCAAAAGTGTGTTGGGCAATAAAGTTGAACTCATAAAGGGCTAATGATAATGAGCATGTCTATCATGAGTTTCTACAAGAACATAGGTGTCATCATTTGTTATTTTGTAACAACTTTTCACACTATTGACTTTTGAACATGGAAAAGTCTTGTTTCTTTTTAAGTTCAATTAGGGATGTCAACGAATCAAGTCGAGCTGACTCGCGAATCGAAATTTTAGGTTCGGGCTCGATTCGAGTAAAATATCCGAGCTTTTTTTTCAGGCCCGAGCAAAAGCTCGACAAAAAAAAAAATTTGGCTCAACCCAAGCTTCTGGCTCGGGCCTTTCCGATCCGAGCCAGGCCGGCTCGGCTCGAATTTTGTTTGGTTTTGGATTTTATTTTATTTATTTTTTAAAGGCAACAAGTGGCACCCAAACAAGGCAGCAACTTGCTGCCTATTTTTTGGCAACAGCACGCTGCCTTAATTTTTTTTTTAATTAAATATATGCTCGGTTGTCCCGAGCTGGCTCGGGCTTTGCCCCGCACCTAAGAGTGGGGCTCGACCCGAGTTTCAGCTCGGTTCTCATGAGCCTCGACTCAGGCGGGCTCGAGCTTTTTCAGAGTCGAGTCACGTGCGGTCCGAGTCGACAAGCCCGATTGCCATCCTTAAGTTCAATGACATGTATACATATAAGCAACAACCTTCTCAACTATCTCATTCTTACAATTTTATCTATAATCCTTAAGTTTACCATCGAAATTTCTTGATGTTAGATTTTTTCTATGTGCATTGTCCTTCATCAAATTCATTATATATTTCACTCAATTCTACATTGCATGTCATTGTTATAAAAATATATGATTTATTAAATCATCAAACCAATGCCATTGCATATTGGAGTCAAGAACACATTTCACTTGGGCTTCCAACAAAAATAGCGGATTGAACTATCCTTTTCAACTTTTATCTCTCATTGTGCTTTCGTATTTATCGTGTCAATGAGTCATTGATACATCTCAAATTTAATTCGTGACTGCTAATGTCAATAAAAATCGAGCATTCTGGTTTCAATTTCTCTATACATATCAATGATGTATCTCTTGTAGTAGCTATCTAGCTAAAAGTATTGATTGAAAACTTAAATCAATTTTGAATATTATATGAAGTCGACCCAATTCAACTGTCAATTCATTATTATCCAACCATGGAATATTCACCTGTATTTCTTGTGCTAATAGAAACACAAAAGATAATCTATATTACAATGTCTTCATAAATAGCGGAGTCAAGCATGATTCCAGTGAAGGCAAGATTAAACTGAGCAGAGGGGGAAAAAAAAAAAAATTAGTAGTAAATTCCAAACAACATAATAACACAATAATAATTAAACATTTTTTTTTTAAGTGTTCCCTACTAATTTCCACACTTTGAAAATGTTTTATAATGACCTCATTTCAATTTTGTCAATTATATTTTTTCCCCCTCAATTTTACAAAACTTGCTATCTATTAAATATAGTAAATTTCTTATTTAAAGCAAATTCCCTCCAATATATAAATACACTTCAATCAAAATCAAACACAATCACTCTAGTCTCATAACATGCTCAAATTTGAATGTAAGTAATTTAAACAATTAAATTTAATAATTCAATCAAATTAAATAAGTCCAAATGAATATTAAAAAAAAGGTATAAGGGTCATTGGCAATGAGGGCGAGGAGGAAGGGAGGAGGCTTTCACTATTGATTTGAAATTGAGAATAAAGCCCCTTGAACAACCCTTGGACAACGGGGTTATGTGACGCCCCCTACTCAAGCAACACGACGCTTGAAATTGAATGGTGGGTAACAGGGTAAGTTTGTGGGCCCATGGGCACATTTCTTAGCTAAACTAGAAATGGCAGAGGAATTGCTGCCATAATTTCTTTCTTTTTTTGCGATATTGCTGTCAAGTGTCATCTGTATTAATTTTGACAGTCACTTTCCGTACATACAGTAGATTTTAACTAGAAATTGTACTGAAATTTCATTTTTTAATCAAAAAAATTGTAAATAAACATTATCAAAAAATAAATTCTCAAACTCAATGGTAAACAAGACGAAAAGTAAATCAGATAGTACTAAAACACCGATGAATTGCCAGTGCCAAACCCTTTCACAGTCATAAATAATCATGAGGAAACCTCACTTCAGCTCTGCCCAAAAAAAATAAAAATAAATAAATAATAAAATAAAAATTCTTACATACTAGTTTGATGGACATGCAGTGAGAGCGATAATAAGCAAAAGGGAAAATTGCAACCAAGGTATCAAACATTTCGTTTATTAACGGACTTTGTCCAAATTTTTAGTTTGTGCCACTGGAGGTACCAAACATTTCAAAAATTCGCATCCGAAGTCCAAATGGATGGAAACCGTCTATTTGACCGTTAATTGACCAAGAAAAATAAATTTTGACCTATTTTGACCAAATCGGAATGGGTAAAATGGTAACTTGATAATTAGAATATTAAATAAATTGAACAAAAAAAATCAAAAAATTAAGAAAATAAATTAAAAAAGGGTTTTCTTCTTCAACCTCCCCACGCCACCCCACCCCACCCATCCCATCCCATCCCATCCCACCCACGCCACCATCTTTGTCCCTAAACCAGTCACCAGCACCACCGCACCCCACCCCACTTGTCACTAGGGTTCTCCATATCCTCTAGTGTTCTCCCTTGTGTCTCAGACAACAATGTGTAGAAGAAAATCCAAGCCACAATTGCAATCTCTACAAACAGAAAGAAAGCCCCTCCAATTGTAATGCTCTTGTAAAGGGATATAAATGGCATTAGTAGCACTCCACTAATCTATTCATTGCGACTCCCAGACCGCACCCTTGGGCCCTTAGGCTCAACGGGAAAATCTCGAAGTTGTAGACCCACACAATTGGGGACAAAGATGGTTGGGTGGGGTGCGATGGGGTGGGACAGTGAAATAAGTGTCCATATTGGGAATGAATTATTCCTCTTTTTGATAAATGTACAGATTGAAGGATGATTCACTCAAGATTGCTGTCAACTTCAGATTGGTAGTTCGAGATAGCAAGAGACTAATGATAAAATGTTCATCTGCTGATATCCTTCTCCATCAGTTGTAAGGTGTTTATATGCTCCGAACCCTTAAGAGTGGGTAGGTAAGGGTGAGATGGGGGGAAGAAGAAGATGAATAGTAGTTTCTTTTATTTTTATTTAGTATATTAGTTTATTTGTTTTATTATAAAATTAAATAGCGAATTTACCTTTTTACCCTTTTAAGTTGGTCAAAAATTGGTCAAAATTCAATTTTATTGGTCGACTAACGATCAAACGGACGATTTTCATCCATTTGGACTTTGGGTGCGATTAAAATGTTTGGTACCTCCAATGGCACAAACTAAATGTTTGGGTAAAGTCTACTAATAAACGAAATGTTTGATACCTCGACTACAATTTTCCCTAAGCAAAATGATAATAAGAGAGAGATTAATTTAGTTTCTACTTTTATCCTATCCATGTATCTTAATGGCATTTTGGCACACTAGAATTAAAAGATACACTAGAATTAAAAGATTAACTCTTTGTTTGGTAGCAATTAAAATCTAAATTTTAATTTAAATCAAAATCAATAATTAATTTCAACCATATATCTTATGGATTTCACAACTTTTTAACCATATTTCGCCAACTTCTATTAAAATCTACTAAAAATCAAATTTTAATCCCCACCAAACAAGGTGTGTGTGTGTGTATATATATTCGCCGTGCATCTTTTGGGTGGTCTAATATGTTGTATAACAAGAAAAATTAAATAAAAAAAACTTTTTTTTTGGATCGAAAATAAAAATAACTTTTAAGCACTCATAATAAGTCATATTTTGGTCTTACGTCTATATTTCGAGCTTTCAGAGTTAATATGTTCTATACACTTTGCACCCCTGATCACCGGCCTGTTAGCAGATCTGTATTCGCAGATTGATTACTATCATGATTTTCTCACGGAATGTCTACACTGGCAGTGATGTTGGCCGTCGTTCTAGAAGAAAGTGCTTCTGCATCTATCATCTCAATACTTGATCGAGCGTCGTCCCCACCATTGGGATGAAAATAAGCGTTTACTGAATCTCTTGGGCTCCCTCCTAATGTTTGGGTTGGAGGACGCTCTTTCTTCTTCTTTGCATGCTTATGCCAGCTCTTTAATGCCTTGGAAGTATGTTCATCAAAAATACTCTTTTTCATGTTTGATCCCATCTGAAAATACACCACAAGAACGAAAACTTGAGAACACGATTCTTTCGACTGACTCGAGTAAATACAATTGCTCTTGAACAAAAACTACCTCAGAGAAACGAATGGAAAAAAAAAAAAAAAATTGAATCATCAAGGAGAGTTACCTGTGTCACGAGTGCATAAAGTGGAAGCGTAATATAACTGCATAAAAACTGGACTCCTAGCCTGCAAATTTATTAAATTAGAAATAACTTTATTCCAATACATTCATATCCTTTTCGACAATTTATGATACAAATTCAAGAATCCTGTTATTTTGAAAAAGGATTCTTCACATAAATTTTCCACTATTTCTTCTCTTCTTTCGACAGGTGAACCTTCAGAATATGGACTAATGAGAGAACGGCTCAATAATTACCCGAGACCAACTCTAAGCACGGCCAAAAGTATGCTGTCATGGAAGCAAGAATACAGCCCAAATTCATACTGCAATACAAAAAAGTATTTCATCCCTCGAGTACAGAGTACTTAATGCACAGTAGACGTAAAGGAATACAGGGAAAAGAGATTCCTTACCGATATCCAGATGAAATATGTTATATCAAATGCATTCTGGACACAGATAAGAGGGGGAAAAAAGGCTGATCAGAAAATTTGCATCCGAAAAGTGGCACTACAAATATAAATGCAATTTATAGTTGAAAGTATTATCATACTGAAATAATACATGAAATATTTTGATAGGATGTGCATGAAACATTTTTGTGTCTGGTAAGGTTGATTTGACATTACAAAATTCCATTAAGGAAAAAAATAAATAAATAAATAAGAAGCTAAATTTTGTAGCATTGTACCATCCAAGCTAGTCCTATGTAGTTAACATTTGGAACACATAGTGCCAAAAAGTAAAAATATCCATCATTTGCAGAGAAAAGAGAATGCTGCAATGTACTGAATGAAAAGGTAGAAACTCAACCTGAAAGAGCGTGAAATGGATAAGATGAAGAACTAATTTAGGCCAGCTAAACCAAAAATGCCTGTCGGAGACTTGGACAAGAGGTATGCCTTGAACAACAGCGTGTCTTTCTTGGATTTCAACAGCCATTTGAGTTATGATTGCTTGGAGCTTTGAACCAACTGCTAACATTATCTTTAACCAACCCAGTAATTAGCTTTTAAATCTAGTCGAAACCAATAGAAAGGACGGAAATAATATCATAACAAGAGAAGCTTACTATTAGGGGCATTATTGACAGCCAAAACATAGTTTGCCATCCAGAAACATTGAGAAGCAGATAGAGCACTGCAGAAAACCAGAGCACTGGACTGAAAGAAACACCAAGATATCAAGTGAGACAAGTAATATTTGGTGCTTTATATTCTGGTGACTATTGACGAAATAACAAATATAAAGAGGAAATAGATCATACGGGATTCCTACAACAACTTTAAAGTCGTCTTCCAATGACCTTTTGATGTATTTCTGAAAATTAAACTTTCTTCCAGGGGCTAAATGAACCTATAAAGATTTCACATTCAATGGGGAGTATAAGAGTATTAATATTTTGGATAAAATATCTAACATTACACGAACGTTTCTTTTGAAGAACATACTGAGATGAACCCATGTCGCATTGCCAAGTAGTCAGCTTTAGTAACAGACCTAAAGAATTGCCGGAAAAAGCAAACCTGAAATGATTGAGTTTAGTTAATTCTTCACACCTAGAAAATATAAACTGCATTCATGTACATACCAGTTCATAAAATCTGAGATAATGCTATTAAAACAATTGCCTGTTTCATATGTAAATAATAATCAATCAAATACCAACATTTTACTCATTGTTATTCTTACAATGTAGAACAGGACAGGGTTTCTCGTCCAGAAACTGGCATGGTCTCTCACAAAAGATGTCTGATGTGTAAGTCTGAATCTAGAAGGATCTGCATAATACAGAAACACGGATTTCAGAAACAAAGTGAAAAACAACTCGATAGCACAAGTATGAACGAGGAAAGACATTCAGAACAAAAATTATTATATTTAATTCTCAGGAAAAAATACCGTTTGATATTTCATAGTCATTAGCAAATTCTCTTTCCCAATGTTTCCATCCACGAATCTGCACCATTGTTTCAGAAAAGAGAGAGACAGAGAGAGAGAGAAGAAACCAGAATACAAATAAGGCCAAATTCATTGACTACAAAAGAAAGTGGTCTCGAGATTAGGCAAGAAATCATGACGAAAAGTTGAAACCTTTGAAGATATTATGAGTACTTGAATAAAGTTACCTTCAATCTTCCCAGCATCATTGTTATTGCACTATAAATGACATGGAATATGGCCAAAAAGAATATGAAGATGTGTAGTTGATGCAGTCCATTGATGGATATAAGTGGCACATATCCCTATTACATTAAAGAACACATTTGTTTAAAATGATCATGGAGTATACAAAATATCTGTGTTTCACTAATGCTGAGCCAGTCACAAGAAAATATCAAATATTTAGCATTAAAATTTTTAAGGATTTAGACCTAACCCAGCTACAAGAGCAATAATAAGCAAAATGAAATCAGAACTAACATTATTTCTCTAATGTGACAGCTATGTGGACTCGCTGCAGTAAATTTTTCAATATAAAGAAGGAGAATTACAATGGAGATCTCATGCCTCTTAGTCTATATATCTTCAACAAAAATTGCCCCCAGTAAATCTTTTATATAATAGGAGGATTAGAGCAACCTGATACGCATATCAATACCCAATATACCCATATAATAGGCCAATAAGAAAAGTGTACAATCCAACGGAGAAGGGTAAAAGCATTAAATCAACAAAGTCACCCAACACTTACACGCAGAGCCATAAACACTAAAGTTTTTTACAGCATCCCAAGCAGATCAAATGTAAAATTTGACTTTGGCAAATTAACGAATTCTTACTTTCTTGCATTCTTTGGCTGAACTATCTGCTGCCAAAATTCTATGCTCATACCATAAGAGCCTTCTATGTGACTCACTCTTATGTGCAGGTGGTTCTTTAGAATGTCCTTGCTTGGGGCATGGCAACATAGTGTCTCCAATATGTTCGGGAATACAGACTTCGGCAATGTAGTTCTGACCAAAGGTCAAAAGTAGGGAAATGAAGCCTAGAACCATAAGCTCTGAAACCGTGAATTTTCAATTTCTAACTAAAAGAAGAAGAAAATTCAGAGTATGATAATGACAATGGAAGATGAATGATGGAGTTGGTTTCCAAAAAAGAAACGCCGGTTCAGGAGGGCTTTGAAATAGAGGATGAACCGGGGTGGTAAGGAAGAATTGACAGTTGAAGAATAGGTATAGAGATTTGGCGCCATTCAAGAACCTGTTAATGAGAGCGTTAGTAGGAATTTAGTTAAGGAGAAAATATGGCCTCAAAATCAAAAAGGGAATATTATGGGACATAGTTTTATTCTTGTTTGGCCAGGATTAAAAATAAGTTGAGTTATTAAGTAATTTTTTAAATATATTTAGATAAGTTAATTTTCTTTTTTCTCTAATTTTTGAATCAAATGAATGAAGATAAGCATGATTTTATTGTCAAGACAAATTAGTCATGGGTGAATATAGTGTTTGTATAATCTAATAAAAAAATAACTGGGCTAACTAATATCAGGATTCAATCTAAATATCTTATAAAATCGAGATGGAAACAATCATTAGTCAAAGAACAATAACTTTTTTTTTGGGGTGATACCTTATTTTTTTATTGATAGACTCTTACTTGTGGCGAATGAATATCGTAGTTATATAAGATTTGCAATTCACCATCCAAATCGAAGTAAGCCAAACTCTGTGTAGTCAAAGTATAATAACTTATGATGAATAACACAATCATCATTCACCTATAATTAAGTCTCTCATAAACAATTTTATTCTCCATTCACACATCTATGGTGAATAATATAAGCAGAATCGTTCTTCATTTATTCTATATTTTTCTCAACTGGATATCGATCATAACCATCAATTTGTCCAAGACAATTTCGAATCTTGTCACAAATACCTTAAAGTTGTTCACGCATGTGTACAAAATGATTGCAAATAATAACACGGATTTATTCTAGACAGAATTTTTACAAGAAACTCACGAAGGCCTAGCCCACCTGAATAAACAATGCCCAAAAATTAATGCACCCACCCCCACGTGAGGTGTCAGTAGTGGTTCTACCTGTACACCATTCAAAACTGATAATAACATAATGCTTATTAGAGGTCATGTGTATGTTTACCAGAGGTCACAAACATTAGAACAAAAGTCACATGTGTGCAAAATAATCACAAAACAATAACCTAACATAATAATAGGTTATATGCAAGTCTAAAAATATCATACAAAAAGCGTGATTAGTATTAGAGGAAAAAATTAAAGAGTGATGCTACATGTACAATTAGTTTGACAAAAGTTTGACTAACGATGAGATGGTATTATTTTGGCCCTTGATTTGAATAAATGAAATTCAATAAAGGTATAAATAATTTTTGTACAAGTAGCTTAATTGAAACTTAAAAACATGGTTTTTTTTTTTTGTCATATTCTCTTTTCTTAACCTCGAACCAAATTGCTAGTTGGGGTGTGATAATTATATTTTGTACACTTATCCAAGTCAATAAATTGGAGTATTTATTAGTGATTTAAATGAGTTATAGCTTAATTATGTGTTTAATATGTTTGTTAGGTTAAATTCAATGCAAATTGGTAGAATTGGAAGAACGAACGAAAAAAAAGCAAAAACCAAAGAGATCCAAAGTTTGGGAACCAAAATTTAAACATTTAGTAGTTGATTCAAACCATAAAATGATGATTGAAGATCACATATAATCAAATAGATACAAATTGGAGGCCAAATGAATGAAATAGAGTTGAAATATTTTCACAAGTCGATTTTCAGCCGAAGAAGTTATAATTTGAATTTTTAGTATCAACTTGAGACCCATTTTTAGATAACAAACGTTCCTATTGGAAAAATTATAAATCCAGAAGAATTGTAGCTTTTGAGTTAACTTTTCAACATACTTTGAATCACCTCAATCGGATATCGGAAGAGAAAGTTACTCAGGAACAATAGCGCGCAAAATGGCAAGCACGCGAGACACAAAGTTCATGACATGAGAGCAATATGGATCAATGGCATAGGCAGTGGTTATGCACTCGCACAGGGTTTTTTTGTAGACGAATCAGTAGTTTTCCTTTTCGATTCAAACTCTTTTGGGACCCAAATTGAACACAATTTTGACATATTTTCTGACTTTTATAAATAAAGAACAAAGGTTACACATTAAAAAAAAACCCCTCTCTTGCTTCTTCATACACAATAATACCATCAAATTTATTAAGAACAAGGAGCTAATTAATGTATTTTGAGAGACGAGATCAAGCCCTAGCAAGAATTGAAGGCCAATTGCATCAAGACATTGAAGAATTTAACTTTGGACTAGAAAATCAACATCTTGCATATACTTTCATGATCCGGGTATTATTTTTTCATTATTTTTCTTGTAATTTATACATTAATATGCTTGGTTGGATCCGCTCTTGTATTGGATGAAGATATGCCCTGTTTGTTTTTTTTAATTTCTAATATAAGACTAGAAATTCAGTTTAATTCTTGTGTTTTTTGATTAATTTTACATACCTATTTCATTATTTAATTGATTGGCCACCAATTAGATAATTAGTTACTTATTGCAGTGTTAGAGACTCACAATAAGTTTAAAACATGGCAAAATCAACATATGTGCAGTAGATGTTAGGAATAACATTTATCACGTATGCAATCATATAGATTATCTAAAATTTAATGCGTTCTAACTATACAAATTTGAGCTAGGAATAGATTTAGATCGTGATTAAAATAGAATTAATTTGCCTTGGAAAAAAAATTAAATACATTAGCTTTATCGATTGTCATAAATGCATGAACGAAACTAGATTACGAGTTAAGAATTGAAATATATAGCAATAGGCAAATTCTAGATCCAATACAATCATCCATATTTGATAAAAATCCCAATTTTACCGTTTCTTTAGATCAATTTAGAATAATCACAAAATCTTTTTTTTTTGTTTATATAGTTCGAGTTCCATACATAATTAGTAAACTTGATTTGAATTTATTCCATATGGGACGATACCATTAACTTACTAAATCTATTATTTATCAATGATTCCGTACATTTGCGGGATTTTATCGAATAAGTTTTTGGTGTCGTTGTCGAAGAATATAGTATTTAATTTTAGTTTTGATAAATTTGGTTATCCACCCTGATCTTTCTTGTGATTAGTACGCTTTCAGGTACTATTAAACAATATATGTAGGATTCTAATGATGACAAAGGAGTTAAATTTCTCACAAGAAGTAATCTCAACATGGATGATGAGGATGTGCTTGTAGAAGACATAATTTGTGAGCTTTGTAATAGGATGTATTATACTGGGCAATGCTTGAATACATGCACTAATCCCTTTATATCCAAACTTTTGTGGTTTAAACAATATTTAAGATGTTGAAAATAAGAAATTGACAAATCTGATGAATGCTATATAGGGGTGTGTGTGTGTGTGTGTGTGTGTGTGTGTGTGTGATAACATCATTCTTAAGAAAATTGGTCCTCCCCTATTGAATGAGAAGGTACTTGCAAAATATTATAATGAACTTGCTATGTCGGATGAAAGTAATATACGTACAACAATTCCGTATTTTGGGATGAATTTAAAAGTTGAGGATATAACTCACTTGGAAAAATTGAAAGGAAAGAATTATCATTGTTGGTGAAATTTGGTTATGAACCAACCATTCAATTCGATGAGATATCAATTATTGAAGAAGAGTATGAAGAAGATATTTTCTTCCCCATATTTTCCTTTAGGGTGTGTCTAAGCTTATTATAAAGTGTTCTATGTTATCATTGATTTTCTAATTATTTTGAATGAACATGACACCTGGACAAATTGGATAAGAGAAGATACATAGCAAGTGATCCAACACTTTCATGCCATTCCATCCGCTAGTTGCAGATTTATATCAAAAGTGTACTTAGTTCCCTTGGTTGCCCTTAATTTTTATAGATTGCTTGTTAAATTTTTAGACATTGTAGACAATGTCTGTTATAAGTTTGGGGGTAAAAATATTGAATTTTATTGGTTTGTGTGCTTGTTTGAGGGCCAAATATTTTTTGAAAATCTGAAAAAAGAACAATAATTTATTTTTAGCGTATTGATTTTGTGTGCTTGTGTAGGTTAGATAAATTTGCCTATTATGATGAACATATTCGGAACCATGTGTTTGGCTATAAATTGTAAAAAAGTCGCACATTAGGGTTGATTTATGCTTATTTATATAAAACTTGATATTTTTTAGCACCAAATTTATGTTTTACAAGGAATTATTTGATTCAAAATTTAAATGGGTTAAAAAAAATATAGTTGACCCTAGATGCTAAATCCAAACAACCACTAAATTATACATCCTCAAACCATATTTAGAATAGTTTGTGAGTGATTAAACTGTTGTAGAGAAACATTAAGATAAATGTGGGTTCCATATGTGCTAAATTTTGTGTGTATTGTCTATGGCCAATAAATTGAAAATTACATGAAAATCTTGAGTTAGGTGTCAAGTTTTGAAAATTGGAGTTTAATAAAGGGCATTGTACTAATCATTGCATAAAAAAGTAAAAATAAAAAGAAAAAAAAATCTCATTGTGAAACGTCTATTCGTAACCTTTATGACCTAGTGATCAAGCCTGCAAGGGTATTTAAAACCTAGTGCTCTAAAGTCATCGACCAAAAACTCGCTACTTGGGTCATTTGGAAAGCTCAATAGAGAGAAATTCACATATAAGATGTTGGAAATATATATATACATGCTTTCATTAAACTCCAAACACTTACTTTAGAGAATTAGACCTTTGATAGTTGGTTATTAGCTTAATTGATTCTTAGGGGTTGAAGCAATAAAAAATAAGGAGAATCTTCATTTATTAATATGTTAAGCTGCAATTAGTAAAATTGAACCAAAGTAAAAAGGGCGAGGACTAGTTTATAAATTCAATCTTAGATCATATATTGGGAAAAGAGTTAAAAACAAGTTTGGGGGTGTGAATCGTACAAGAGAAAAAAATGATATATTTG